CTAAAGAAAGATAGCCTCTTTAATCAATGGTGTTGAGAAAACTAGATATCCATATGCAGAAGTCTATAACCATATCTCACCAGTACTAGTCTAAAATCAATCTCTAAATGGTAAAACAGAAACAACCTGCCAGAAGTGGTAGCGCACGCCTATGAACCAGTACTTGGGAGGCTGAGGCAGGAGGATCGCTGTGACTTTGAGGCTAACCTGGGCTTTGTAGTGAGTTCAAGGTGAGCCCAAATTACAAAACAAGACCCTGACTTAAAAAGGAAAAGAAAAGAAAAGAAAGACCCAGAAAACAGAAACATCTGCCAGAAGATAAAACTCTTGAAGATACAGGCATAGGCAAGGACTTTATGAACAGAACTCCAGTGGCACAAGAAATAATATCAAGAATCAACAAACAGGATCATACCAAATTAAAAAGCTTCTGCACAGCAAAGGAAAAAACAAATAGTGTGAAGAGACAACCTACAAAATGAGAAAAAAAAAAAAATTGCCAGCTAGTTCCTCGGACAGAGAACTAACATCTAGAAGATATATTTTAAAACCTCTAAAAACCTCTCTCCAAATAAAAGACCCAATCAAAAAAACGGGCAACTGCCAGTTTAATAGTTCCTGCCTCTAGTCCCGCCCCTCGAGCCCTGCCCTGGTCCTCTGGCCACGCCCCTCAAGGCACTCTGCTGCTTGAGCAGGATCTGCCCCATGACTTACGTGAGGCTATGGTGGGGGGACTGACAGTGCAGTGGAGATGCCAGGAAACTGGAAGAGCCAGGACGTGGAACATCTGGGGAAGACCACAAAGAGTGAGCAAATCCAGCCCAAAAAGGAATCTGTGAGGGCTACGAGGACAGTGCTACAGCCAGCCAAGCCACTTACAGCACACACCTCACCACAGCCTGCCCCAAGTGCTGACATGAAACTATGCGACTGAGGGTGTGTCTTCCTGGGTTTGTCTTGCTTTGGTCTCCTTCCTTTCTGTCCCCCCTCTCTCTCTCCCTTTTGGAATGGAAATCTTTATTCTGTGCCATTAAATGTCAGCAGTATTCAACTTTCTTTTGATTTTTACAGGGGCTCAACAAGTAAGAGGTTGCTTTGAATCTCAGAGGACAGACTCAATTTGAACTTTTCAGCAATGTTAGGACTTTGGCAACTCTTGGAGGTGGACTAAATGGATTTTGCATAAAGGGCTGTGCATGAGTCTTTGAGGGGCCAGGGCTGAATGGTATGCCTTGTATCTCGATGACCAACCTTCATGTGCTCATAGGCAGGGGCTTGGGGAGGTAAATGGATCATGGGGGTGTGGCAATCGATGATGGAAGAATCCACTGAAAAGCACACAGCTGACTTGCAGTTAGGGGGTGGGATCCGGGTAGGTCACTGACGGCACTGTCTGCAAGGGTTCGTCTCACCACACTTCCCTTCCCTATCTCTGCTTCCCCACCGCCTTTCCACGAGCAGCTTCTCCCCTGCTGCACCCCTCTGCCATGCTGTCCTCTCTTGGAGCTAGCAGACAAGGTACTGAAACCTCTGCAAACTATCAGCATAAATAAACCTTCTTTTCTTTAAATTGTGGGTGTGCGGTATTTTGTCAAGGAATGTGACTGAAAGAGTTGTTAAAACCAACCAAAGGAATCAGCACTGGGAAAAGAATGCAGGTCAGGACTCAGTAAACACCTTACAATAACTCATCCTCTTGATTGCAGACTTAGGGCCATCTTAAGTCTGCAATCAAAAGATATAGACTGGGGGAAACTACCTGCTCAGGCCCCCCCCTCCTGTCCCTCTCTCGGACAGGAGCTTTCTTTCTCTCAATAAATATATTCTGCTCATAATTTATGGTCCTAAAATTTGTTATGTTCCTAAAATTTAAATTCCTAAATTTGTTATGTTCCTCCATTTGTTCCTAAAATTCATTCTTCGGTTTTAGAGAACATGAAGTTGTGCAGGTCAGGTCCAGAGATCGTTTTTTCCCTATGTCATTTGGAGGTTCCCTATATTGTTTGGAGGTCACCCACCTGAGACCAGTTTTTCTCCCTGTATAAAGTTCAAGGCCAATCTGACTACATAGCAAGCCCCTTTCTCAAATAAATAAATAAAATAAAATAAGAAACTGTCTGTTGAACAAATTTCTCAACAACAACAACAACAACAAAAAGACACAGACTGGCAGATAGGATCAAAAAACAAAAATGCAAATATATATTGCTAGCAGGAGAAAAATACAAAGAGAAGCTCCCAGACTACAGAAAGGAAAATGATGCCCATGCAACCTGAGCCCAAAAGGAAGTGGGAGTAACTCACTCTCAAGAGTCATCAGACTTTGAGCCAAAACTGATCAAAAGAGATAAACATGGCCACAACATACTGGAAAAGGGAGAATTATTTCTCTATTTAATTTTTTTTTTAAATTTAGGGTTTTTTTTTTTTTTTTTCTTTTTGGCGGAACCAGGGATTGAACTCAGGCCCTTGTGCTTGCCAGTGAAGTGCTCATTCCGAGCCATCTCCCCGGCCCTTTAGGGTTTTTTTTTTTTTTTAGATCTTCTATCTATTTATTTGGTACAAGGTGTTACTATGCAGTTCTCATGGGCCAGCATGGCATGTGGTATGGGGGACTGAACCTGGTTCCTTGTGCTTGCCAGACAGATGCTTAGATGGCGGAGCTATCTCCCCAGCCCTTAGGGTTTTTTTTATATATTCTATTTCTATTGCATGTTTTGTGGCCTTAAGATATGGTCTGTTTTACTTCATTGCTGTAAAAAAAAAAAAAAAAAATCTAAATTAAAAAAATTAAATAGAGAAATAATAAAAGCATGCAAAATAAATAGAAAAGAACCCCTGGATACTACTGAAGGAAGACACAACAGTTATACTAGTGGAATACTGGTGCAACCAACTTTATAAAACAAAAACTACTGTATGTCAAAGGACAGAAAGACATCAACACAACCACAGTGGTGGGGTCTTCAACACCCAACTCTGATACTTAGGTTAACCAAATAAAAAATTAGCAAAAAAAAAAAGTTAGCAAAAACAGATCAAAGCCGGGGAGATGGATCAGTAGGATAAGCGCTTGACTGGCAAACACAAGGATCTGAGTTCAATCCCCGGTTCTGCCAAAAAAAAAAAAAAAAAAATAATAATAAAAACAGATCAAAGTTAAAACATACCATTGAACAAATGGACTTAACAGATATCTAGTGTTTTGTCCAACAAAAATACAAATTTTTCTCAGCAGCACAGAGAATTTTTTCCAAAACGGACCATATATTAAGGCCACAAAACATGCAATATAAATAGAATAATTAAAAACCCTAAATTAAAAAAATAGAGAAATAATAAAAGCATGCAAAATAAACAGAAAAGAACCCCTGGATACTATTGAAGCATAGTGTAATGAAGCTAGAAATCAACAGCAAAAGAAACTACACCAACACATGGATTTTAAACAATCATTGAATTTAATCATTGAATAAACAATGGATCACAGAAAAACAGGGAAGAAACAAAACGTTCCTAGACTCAAATGACAGTACAGCACAACATGCCAAAAACCTGTGGGACACAATGAAAGCAGCTCTAAGTGGTAATTTCATTGCTGTAAATGCACACATTTAAAGAATTGAGCAACCACAACCTAGTCATACATTTCAAAGTCCTAGAAAAAACAAGAGCAATCCAAATTAATGGAAAGACATTACAAAGATCAGAGTGGAAATTAATGAAACTGAGACTAAAAAAGCACGAAGGATCCATGAATCAAAAAGTTCTTTGAAAGAACAAGGTTGGGGCCAGGGATATATCTCAGTGGCATAGGTGCCTGCCTGGCAAGAGCAAGGTCCTGAGTTCGATCACTGGCACTGCCAAAAAAAAGGAAGAAAGAACAAGGTTACAAAATTTTTAGCCAAATTTATCAAAAGAGGAGAAAAAAACCTACATCAATGCAAAGTCTGATCTATGTAGTGAGACCCTGTACTAAATACAAAAGAAAAGGAAAAAAAGAGACTTATTTTGAAAACTTGTATTTCAATAAACAGGAGAACTCAGAAGAAATGTAGAAATTCTAGACACATATGAGTTACCAATATTGGATCTAAAAGATATAAAAACTCTGAATAAATCAGTAATAGGCAACGAAATAGAGGCAGCCGATGGATTTACCACTGAATCCCACCACCAAGGAAAGGAGGACTGTCAAACGCATTCCTGGAAGCTAGAACTTCCATGATACCAAAATCAGACAAAGACTTAACGCAAAAAACAAAACTACAGGTCAGTCTCTTTGATGAACGTAGATGCAAAAAGCCTCAACAAGACACCAGCGAACAGTGCAACAAACCTTTACGAACCGTTTATATCACAACCAAGTTGGCTTCAGCCCAGGGATGCAAACAGAGTTCAATATACTAAGTCAAAAACCATCAAGTATCACATAAAGACGATAGCGCTAAGCGCTCCGGGCTCACCCGCCCGCCTCTCCTCTAAGACTGTCCCCGACCGGGGCTGGGGGCTGGCCCTGGCGCTAGCAAGCTGTCCGCAGCACCTGTTTCTGTTCAGCCCAGGGTCACGCCGGGTTTACACGCGAATATAAACAGGCTTGCACCGCCTCCTGGCAGCAGCGCGCACGCTTGTGAAACGAATGAATGAGCGCCGGACTGGGGACGCTGCCTGAGCGCCAGAAGAACGCGCTCCACGCCGCCCAAACCGCGCGGGTCAGCGCCGCGCCAGCCGGAGCACCACGCGCCCTCTCAAGACCCCCGCTAGCCTAGCTGAGCAGCACAAGTCCCACCCCCAAAGACGCGCCTAAGCAGATCCAGCCTCCCATTGGCCAAGGCGGCGCGGGGGGCGGGCTTTTGGCCCAGAATCAGGCTGCGTATTGGTACGTGCCTCTGCACTGAGAACTGGGATTGGGCGTGCGAGTTCGCAGGCGCCTTACTCAGAAAAGGGCGGGTCAAGGGGCGTGGCCAGAGCACTGTCCCGCCCCCAACGTTCAGGGCTCGGCGGGGAGGGCCACTATAGCCGCCTGGGAGCCCAAGCTCCTGCATCGCATGGGGCTGTTGGGGCGGCTCGGGATTGGCGAAGGTTCGAGGTAAGGTCTGTGTGCCGTGGCAGGCACGTGCGTGGAGGTGTCCGGCGCTGAGGTCCGGGTCCCCTGGGAGTCCTCGCGCGCGCGGCCCGGCCGGGCCCTCTCCGCCCCGCGCCGTTTCCCGGCCTTGCGTGCCGGCGGGGGGCGGGGGGCACAAAGGCTTGGCGGGGGCGGCGGCGCCTCGTGCCCGGGCCTCCATCTTGCGGCTGGACGGGGCCACGGGGGGCGGCGGGCGCTGAGGCGCAGGCCGGTTCCAGCACGGCCTCCCTGGGCGGGACTTTTCTCCTCCGCTCGTGTCGGGGCGGGCGCGGCCCACGCTCTTTCCCACTGGGAGGGTCCGGACGCCTAACGGTGTCGTCTGTCGCCATGTGTGCGCGCAGCGGACTCGAAAACGTGTCCCACTTGTTTTTAAAAAATTTTTTCGCCTCTATAGCTGTCATGATCCGAACGCTTCTCAGCAGCCCAGGGGCGCATGCCCAAAACCGGTTTCCAGGCCCCTTAGAATTATTGGGTTGGGTTCAGTGTATTGTTTGTAATAAAAACAAACGGAAATCTGCCGGTGCCACGGTCGCTGGCTGTTCCTGGGGCTGGGGACGGAGGCAGGTCGCACTGGTACACGGTGCGTAGTGCCCCAGCAGTGCTCGAGTCTAGGTGTCTGATGTAAAGAGCATGACTAAGGCTATTGGCTCAGTTTATCTTGGGCAGGCTTCAAAGAAATACAGGTCGCCACCTCTTACCTTGTTCCCTCCAAGCTCCTCCCCACCATCTTAAGTAAATTCTGGACCACTGAGTACAGAAGAGAGTGGGAAACTCGGTCCCGCCTCTTCTTTAAAGGCTTTGAAACTCGTCTCCCACTCCACCACCGGTAATCGTCCTCCTTTGAGATCCCTTCTGTGGCCTGCCTGTCATTGCACATCTCAAAATATTGTGGTTTCCCCATCCCCAGCATGAGGAAGGCACTCAGCGATGGAAGCCTAAATAAATAAAACCCAGCTGTTTAAAAAAGTTGACAAAACAGGAACTTTTAACTGGATCTAGTAATTCTTACAGGTTAGGGAGGCAGCTGAGTACAGGCTCCCAAGGCAAATAAGACTTAAGCATTGCTATGTTACTTTTTTTGGTACTGGGGATCGAACTCACGACCTCAAACTTGTCAGGCAGGGTCTTTGCTGATGAGCTATGACCCTGGCACCATGTTACTAACTCTGAAGTTACTTATTCCATGCCTCAGTTTTCTTGCCTGTAGAATGGTCTTAGGAATAGTCCCTACTCTGTGGTTGTGAGAAGTAAATAAAATACTGATATAAAATATCTGTAAAGTTCCTGGTACAATGAATATGCTAGGTGGTTGTTAGCAGTTGTTAAAAGTAAAGATGATCTTGTACAGCAATTAACCACTAGGAAGAATGTATGCAGTGTGTGAATTATTGAAACTGTCCTACCAGTTTGATTTGAAACTGTCTCATTGCTATTTGTTTATCAATAAAATTATGGGGAAAAAAAAGGAAAGATGAACAGGTACTTGAACAGACTCGCCAGTACTAATACCAACACAGTGCTTGATCCTTTGTGGTCTCTGCCTTTGAGCATTTTCTGATTCTTCATTTGAAAAAAAATCCTTCAGCTTTCCTGATTCCCTTCCCACAGAAAGAGTAGATTATCTGAATCTTAATACCCACTAGAGATCAATTAGATGTCGCATAATGCCTTAGCCTGATATTACAGTCATATTTGATAAACTTTTAATGTGGTCTGTTACAATAGTCATATAACAACAGAGAAGTGAAATATGTAGATAAAGACGGATGGGAGGTGACAGGAAAATCTTCAGAATTGCATTCATACAAAATGTCTTTGAAAGGAAGCAAAGCTTGTGGAAGGGATCTCTAGCTTCTTTATAAATCAGTCTGTCCTCACAGAGAAACTGTTTCCTACCTTTAAAGTTGCTCACAGACATGAAAAATAGACGTCTTCCTGTTGGCTTTAGACTTGTTTGCCAGACCTACAGGTGTCAAGTACAGCCCCCCAGGGGATAATTCTTCCCTTCCTGGTACCACTCCTCACAGGAAACAGGCTGAAGTGTGTGTTTCCTTTCAGCTGTAAGCTCCTTTGGAATGTTTCTCTTTAAATTTTGCTTGTTTGTTTGTTTAGGTTTTTGAGACAGGGTCTCACTGTATAGACTGGCTTTGAACTCACTATACAGCTCTGGCTGGGCTGGCATCAAATGCGCTAGCCTCCCAAGTGCTAGGACTACAGGTCTGCACCGCCACTCCCAGCTTCTTCTTTGTTGTTTTTGTTTATTCATTTATTGATATTTGTATGTAGCTCATTTTTTAAAATGAGAATAAAACAGTTTTTAAAAACACTAGAAATGATACAGAATTTCACTAAACAAAATAGCTCAGCAGCATAAGCACCTGTCTGGCAAGCACAAGATCTTGAGTTCCATCCCTGGTACCAACAACAAAAAAATAAGAAAATAAAAAATTCAGCAATGGTTGTTATATCCTACAATGTTGTCTTCAAGTTGCTTGTTTAGATTACCAGATGTGAGCATGCAAAATTGGTCAAAAAAGTTATGAGAAATTAAAAAGGAGAGAAAAAAAATTAAGCATTAACTGCTCCTTTCAATAGACCAACAGAAATCAGCAGGATAATTACGTTAGCTATCCTGTATATACATGAATATATCTTTTTCCCTTCTCTTGTTTGTCCTTTTCCTTATCCTAGTTCTTCCTTTCCTTTGAACAGGTATATGTTATTTGGAGTTCCAAAACAAACTTCTTTCCCCTCTACACCTGTAATCAGAAAAAGAAAAAAAAAAAAAATTCGAGTACGTCATTCTGTTTTTAGTATAGCCACAACAGATATTAAATCCTTTCTCAGGAATACTGATTTATTCCTTTTTAGTGTGATATGCAGTAATTAGCCATTAAAACCTGCCACAGGGACTAGGGAGATGGCTCAGTAGAATAAACACTTCCCTGGCAAGCGCAAGGGTCTGAGTTCAATCCCTGGTTCCACAAAAAAAAAAAAAAAAAAAAAAACCTGCCGCAGATGCAAGAACCTTGGGGATAAGGACATAAATTTTCTCCTGTGTGCCTGGTGTGAGGTAAGTGTTCAGTGAATGCTCATAAAGCCAGCATAGTTGCTCCTTAACAGCAACAGTCCTGACTTTGAGCAGCCTGGGGTTTCTGAAGCCTTGCAAGTGTGCCTTGCACTTCATCTAGAAATACTGCTAAATTGTAGATTTTGCTTCCAAGGCTTTGTGCAGGTCCTAAAAATATGCATGCCCAACAGGTTGTGACATATCCTAGATTACACTTTTCACACTTTTGAGTTGTACAATGCTAACTTAAGTCACTATTTCTTTTTTTTTTTTTTTTTTTTTGCTTGTGTAAAGATTTTTTTCTTTTTTGAAACAGAGTCTCTCTATGTAGTTAAGCCTGGCCTCAATCTTGTGGCAACCCTTCTGCCTCAGCCTCCCAAGTGCTGGGATTACAGGCATGTGCCACCTTGCCTGGCTGCTTAAAGACATAGATTGGTTTTATTTTGCAACTTTAGAATCAATAACAAACACTTCATTCCATGAAATAAAGTGTTCTTGTGGCCCAGGTACAGCTCCCTGTGTTAGTAGGAGTCACTTATGTTACTGCAGAGCTGGTTCTTTTGCTTTGCTCTTTGGAGAAAAAAATATGTTGATTAAGGTGGTATTTGGTCCTCCACATCCTTGTTCTCTTGAGTATCAGAGAGCTTGGAGTTGAGAGGGGAGGTGGCAGGGAGCTCAGGCAAGCTCCGTGTAGATGTGATCATTGCATGTCCTTAAAGCCATCTGCAAAAAAAAAAAAGGCGGGGATAGGGAGATGGCTCAGTGGAATAAGCACTTCCCTGGCAAGCGCAAGAGCCTGAGTTCAATCCCTGGTTCTGCAAAAAAAAAAACGCCATCTGCACCCTCTGCAGTAAGTGAAGATTGGGCTTGAGACAAGGCTGTTTGAGGTTTAGTCAGTCTGCCAGCTGGTGAGCCAGGGAGACAGTTCCCAGGTTCTGTTCACAGCCCTGGTGTCCTCCTGCTATGTAAAGCCAAGGCAAACTCGGAGGAGCAGCCCAGCAGGAAAAAAAGGGGCTGCCTCTGGCCCATTGCCATGCCACAGGAGCCGTGGTCAGCCCTCTGGAACTCTGAGTCTGTTCTTCATTTCAGCGTGCTTTGCGTTCACCTGCTGCAGAGCATCACCCGCTCCTCAGGGAGGCCAGCCTCTGGAGTACTGAGGCTCCAGCAGCTTTCTGCAACAGGAAAGGAGGCTGGGAACGGTTGCTCTGGGCCGCGGCCTTCCAGCAGCCCAAGGCAGTCCTCAACCTTCCTCTTGATCTGCCCTCGTTAGCCTCCCCAGTGTGTGTTTTTACCTTCTTTCACATGGCCACTTGCCTGATTGGCCACTGCCTAGATGCTCCCTTCTCCCCTAAATCTAGTTCCCAGAAAGCCTAGAGCCACTGGCCCTGCTGGGTCCTGCCGCCTCCCTGTGGACAGGTTCATGCTCTTGGAGGAGCAGCAGCATGCAGAGCCACTTTGGCTCAGTGGCCACAGTCTGCTGGTGTGTAGTGATGCATTTACCTCTATGCCTGTGACTCTTCAGAGAACAAGATCCACACTTTGGGGCTCCACACTGCTGGGACTTTCCCCTGGAGCAACACCAACCTCTCGGTGTCATCACAGGTAGCTGTCTGCGAGCTCAGGGACAGGATGGAACTTCAGGACACAGTTGGGATGAATGAGCTTGTTCCAAAGGGAGTTCGTGATGTAAAGCATCCCAGAGAGTGAAGTGTGGTGACTCGCACCTATAATCCTAGCAGGTGAAGGCTGAGGCAGGAGCATCAGAAAAGCATCACTTCTTCAAGGCCAGTTTGGGAAACATAGTTAAAAACACCAGCATAGTGAGATCCTGTCTCGAAAAAAGAATCCCAGGGAGCTTTTTTTATTCAGAGACTTGTTTCCTATTTGATCATTC